TATTAGGGACTAAGCCTCAAACACTGTGTGTAAGCAAATGATATAAACCAGTACAGAGATACTCACCCATCACTCATTAGCAATGCAAGCTACACCATAATGTACATGGCTGTAGCCCTTGACCCAAGGCCCCCCACTGACTCCTGCCGCTCACTATTGATGCTCTTACAAAACTCATCCCACTGCACTGGGGACCGAATCTAGTGGCCTGCTTGCAATCAAGAGCAGCAAAGCTTCTATGATCAGGTGACCCAGATGGTCTTGCCACCATGGGCTTCTTTGGCAGACTGCACATAAAAAAAAAAGGAATGTGCCTCATGGGGCAAGGACTAGGGGTGTAGGGAGAGACCCAGGCATCTGTGCCGCTGACCACACCCATTTTGGGCGTGGCTACAGGTGTGTACTGGCGTGTGAGATAAAGGGCTGAGGAGAGGGGCACTTGCCCTCTCTTGGGGTTCCCGGTCAGGTCTTGGAGAGCAGCGGAGTGCTGACCTTGGGTTCTCAGGTTCTCATGTAAGTGATTTCTCCCTAATAAAATAATATACAGCATCTCTTCCTGTGTGTGGCAATCATCCTCTTACACTAGGGGGTCTCCAGGAATAGTAGTGAGGAACAGGGGCCTGGGTCAAGCAACCACTTAGGCAGTGAGCAGGAAAACACCTGTAACCTCAGGAAAGAGGGGTCCTAGCCCACAGCAACTGTGAGTTTTTTAAAGAAGTATGACATTGTAATATGCTGAGTTTTAGGCAGCAATAGAAATTAACACATGAAAAGCAGTTTCTATCGTGTGTGTGTGTGCGCGCGCGCACACGTGTGTGTATGCATGCACGTGCACACAGCTGTGTTTGCAGGTGTTCAAAGGCCAGAGTGAAAGTCCTTCTCTACTACTCTCGGCTTCATTCCTTTGAGTCAAGGTCTCTTATTGAACCTGCAAGCTTGCCATTTTGGCTAGGAGAGCTGGCCAGTGACCTTCCAGGAAGTGTCTCCATTCCCCAGGTCTAGGATTATCTGGGTTGTAAGTGCACTGCAGCTATGTCTGCCTTATACTGGCCTTCATTCTTACCCACAGAGCCGTCTGGCAGACTGACAGTGATCTGCCCACAAGCAGACTAGGAAGAGATCTGCTAACAGCCACATGCAGGTCCTTGGACCTTGCAGGTCTACTTGCAGTAATACCCACTGCCTGCCTCAGTGGGACATGGCTTCTAAAGTTCACTCAGGGCAGCCTTTGGTAGTAATGTTTCATCAAGTTGTTGCGATGGGCTGAACTGTGCCCCCCCAACAATGCATATATGTAAGTGTTGGTCTTCCACACCTCAGGATGTGACTATTTCTGGAGACAAGGCCTTTAAAGGGGAAGTGGGAATGAGGTCTTTAGAACAGACCTAATCCAATACAGCTGGCCCCCTAAGAAGAGTCAGAGACACAGACAGGTATAAGAGAGGCCTCAGAGGAAAACCACCTTGGGATGCCTTGACACTGGGTATCCAGTCTCCAAAAGGAAACAAACGAGCTTTATGTTCCTCACTCTCTCATGGAACAACAAGAGGCATAGGGCTATAGGGTGCAGTTGCAGGCTTCCAAGGGCAGGCCACAGTGCTGTGAAGATAGGCAGTGGTGGGTGGTGCTGTCACATGGGGCCAGGGGCTGATATCAGATGTGCTCCTCTATCCTTCAAGTCAAGTCTTTCGCTAACCCTGGGCCTCACCACTTTGGCTAGATCGGCTGGAAGCAGGTCCTAGGGATCCTCCTGTCTTTCCCCAGCACTGAGATGGCAGCATGTCACACCTTGCTCACATTTTGTTTTGTTCTTCAAGACAGGTTTCACTGGCTGGCACTGGCTGGCACTGGAACTCCCTCTGTAGACCAGGCTAGTCTCAAACTCAGAGATCTGCCTGCCTCTGCCTCCCAGATGGCAGGATTAAAAGTGTGTAGCATTGCTGCCCAGCTGTTGCCCAGATTTTTATATGGGTGTTGGGGATCCAATTTAAGTCATGTTTGAATGGTGAGCATTTTATCAATGGAGAGATCTTCCCAAATACTTATTTTCCCTGTTCCTATAATAGAACCCTGGAATCTAGCTAATTTAGAATCACCATTGCAGAATGTGTTGGCTGTTACAAGATAATGGCCACGCTCACTCTGCTGTGCTTAATTTGGGTTAAGCTAAAAGAACCTCACCCAATGCATAGAGAAGATGGCTTCCTGTCAGCCTCAGTTGCCCACTCCTCAGGTTCCCTTGCCCCCAGGCAGCTGTCTCTCACCTGGAAATAGTTCAGAAGCAAGCCAGCCCAGGATAGCCCCAGGCCTGCGAGCAGGAAGGGTATTAGCACCTGAAGGCCAATGATCAGGGCGCTCTCCCTGCCACTCTCAGCCTCCAGTGATTTGGGGTCCACACTTTCGCTCTCAGAGACCCCCTGATGTCCATCTTCGGAAGCCTCCGGGAGTCTTCCTGTACCGTGGTTGGGTGATGGCCCCAGCTCCTTCGGCCTGCCACAGCCTTCCAGCCTCCGCTGTCGGGCCTCCGTCCCTTCCATCGGCACACGGCTGAGCCCAGCAGCCCTGACCTGGGAGACACAAAGTGACAGGACTGAAGGGTAGAACTCCTGACTCCATCCATTCACCTGGCCGCCGTCACGCAGAGCTGGCCTTCACAGACTCCAGCGCCATTACTCTCTGCTGTCTAATGTCATATGCACAGGCCTGAGGATGACACACAGCTATTGAAGGACTGTTAACTGTACATAGGAGCCAACAAGAGTGACACACCCTATCAACCAACCAATCAAAAACCTGGCCCTGGACTGATTAGGTGCAGTACACTCATCTATTCTCAATACTACCACCCAACATGAATGAATGAGTGAGTGAGTGAATGAATGAATGAGGAGCAGTAGAAAGTATAGTCAGAATCAACCTTGTCAGAACTCTGGGAATTAAACCAAGGCTTGTAGCAACCCAAGGACTATCAGGAACACTGTGGCCTTCATCATGTTAGTGACAGTCTCATTGTCTTTAGCCTGGACGATGGCTGGCTGGGAGGGTTAATTCTGCCTGCCAATGTGATTAGATTAAGGGCAGTGCTGAGGTGCGCCTTGCAGATGATCAAGCCTGTCTGTGGGCTGGGGTCTAAGACTGAAGGAAAAGAGAAGGTCTTCTTGGACTGCCCAGATGCAAGCAAGCTCCTGCCTGTGACAGCATGCTTTCCTACCGTGATGGGCTGTACTCTCAAACCAGAGGGGAAAAATACCCCCTAAGGTTCTTCTCACAGGTATTTGTTTACAACAATGAGAAAAGAAACAGCCATTGGGGAGAACCAGTAACCTGGAGCTCTTTGGCTATCCAGAAGAACCCTGGTCCTCACACCCATATGGGGTTCAGGGATACTCCTTTGCAGACTACCTGGAGACCCCTAGTGCTGAAAACCTCTGAAACAGTAACAGATGCTTCCTGGCTGCTTGCAGACTGATGAAAAGGATCAAAAAAGGTCCTGAAAACAGCTTGGTATTGGCACAACAATAGACAGACCAAAGGAATCGAATTGAACACCCCAACATTAACCCATACACGTATGAACACCTGATCTTTGACAAAGAAGCTAAAATTATACAATAGAAAAAGAAAGCATCTTCAACAAATGGTGCTGGCATAACTAGAGGCTGACATGTAAAAGACTGCAGATAGATCCATGTCTATCACCATGCACAAAACTTAAATCCAAATGAATCAAAGCCCTTAACATAAATCCAGCCACACTGAACCTGTTATAAGAGAAAGTGGGAGGTACCCTTGAACAAACTGGTACAGGAGACAGCTTCCTGAACATAACATCAGTACCACAGACACTAAGATAGACAATTAATAAATGGTACCTCCTGAAACTGAGAAGCTTCTATAAGGCAAAGGACACAGTCAGCAAGACAAAAAGGCAACCCACAGATTGGGAAAAGATATTCACTAACCCCACATCTGACAGAGGGCTGATCTCCAAAATTTACAAAGAACTCAAGAACAATGGAGTACTATTTAGTGGAAAAAAACAATGGAATCTTGAAATTTATAGGCAAATGGATGGCACTAGAAGGAACCATCCTGTCACAAAAAGAAACATGGTATATACTTACTCATACATGGATTTTAGATATGAATCAGGGGAGTGCCCACTGCCAGAGAGTTTGGGAAACAGAACCTTTATCCATCGACTGATGGAAGCAGAGGCAGACACCCACAGGTAAACACTGAACTGAACTCCTGGAATCCAGTCACAGAAAGGGAGAACTGATGAGCAAAGGAGTTAACACACAGAAACAGTTGGCCTGAACAAGGGGGAGCTCTTGGACCCCAGACTGGTGACTGTGTGGAAAGCATGGGACTTATCCAGACCCCCTGAATGTGGGTGTCAGTGAGGAGGCCTAAGTAATCTATGGGGCCATGGGTAGTATTTATCCCTGGCGTACAAAAAGACTTTGAGTGCCTATGCCACAATATGGGATGCTCTCTCAGCCTGAACTCTTGTGGGAGGGCCTAGGCCCTGCCCTGGATGAGGTGACGGACTCTGGAGATCCACCATGGAGGGCCTCACCCTCCCTGGGGATAGGAGTGGAGAATGGGTGGGGGGACTGGGGTGCCTGGGAGGGGGAGGGGGAGGAGGGGAGGGAGCTGGGATTGACATGTGAAACAAGCTTGTTTCTAACTTAAATGAAAAAAAATAGAAAAAAAACCAAAAAAAGTTAAAATAAGAAAAAGCTGGGGGATGAGGTGTCCATGACAGCAGTAGACGACGTTCCAAGACCAAAAATGCAATAGCACATGTCCAGTGCTGGACATAAGTTCAAAAATGGCTGACCAGACAGAGGGTGAATGCTGAGGGGGATGGTAAGGGGTCTAGAATGGGAAGGGTCCCAGGGTGCCCATATTATCCCTCGGCGGGGACTGTAGACTGGGTGGTGAGTCATAATGGCTCTCTTGGCAACAGAGACATGCACAGCACAGAATGGTGTTCAATGAAGTCACTGGACAGCAAGGGGACTGGAAGGAGACATCTCAGTCCGAGAAATGGCTCACTGTTTAGAGGATGCAGTTTTCAACAACAAACGAGACACAGGAACAAATTCACTTCAACAAATACGAGCCACGGAAACAAGAAACTGCCTCTAAAAGGAAACAGTAGTTAACGTAAAGTGTCCCCAAGGAGGATCAGGCTCTGGCCTGCAGAAAACGTCAAGGTAGTTTTGTTAATACGTTCGAAGAACTCGAGGAACCCTTAGCCCAAACTGATAAAACTGGAGGCAGGTGTTCACAGCCTTGAAGCTGACCCCCCCCCCAAGGAAGAGAACACAGGTCCAGGGCCATGGGTACAGCTGCAGGCTTCCAAGGGCAGGCCACAGTGCTGCGAAGATAGGCAGGAGTGGGCAGGGCTGTCACATGGGGCCTCACGAGGGTGAGCACTGGAGGCTCTGTAGGAGGGCAGAGGCAATCAGGGCCAGCCAGTGACCCCCCCAAGCCCTTCTGGGTCAAGATTTGCCCGTACCCCAGAACACCGAGAAACAATGGATCACCATTGCGGAACGTGTTGGCCGTTGCAAGATAATGGCCAGGATCACTCAGCGATTCCAAAATAGTCCATCCAACCTTCCCTAAGGGACAGGGCTGACAGGCAGAAGACTGCCTGTGTGAGACAAAAAAAAAAAAATGTCCTCTGCCACATGCTCGGAGGACAGCCAGGTTCACAGCATCAAAGGGCTAAAAACCTCACTGTAAACAAATAAACTCTAAAAGTAATCCAAGGAGTAGGCCTTCTCCCAAGATTCTGGGAGGGACAATGGGTCCCATAACTCGGAGCAAGGATAAAGATAGATGACCACAGGACCGCGGGAAAGCGAGGCGCTTTCAGGACACTGGTGGAGTGGCTGAAGCGAAGGCACGTCAGACCACCGCTACCCTGCCACAGCAGTGTCAGCATGAAACAGACCCGACGCCAACGAGATGTACATAGCCCAGGCTGGCCTCCAACTGGATGTGTAGCCAAGGACCTTGAACTTTCTGGTCCTCCTGCCTCCTCTGGAGTGACGAGATTACAGGTACGCACCTCCACGTTCGTGAGGCACAGGGGACTGAATCCAGAGTTCCACACACACCAGGAAGGCAGTGTGCCAGCTGAGCCTCATCTGAGGAGGACGTGCAAGCACGTCCCCTGAGTAAGCAGGAGCCAGTGAGGGAGTGTGCGCATGCTGGGGGATGGAACTGGACAGGAAGGCGGAGCCAGTGAGGGAGTGCGCGCATGCTGGGGGATGGAACTGGACAGGAAGGCGGAGCCAGTGAGGGAGTGCGCGCATGCTGGGGGATGGAACTGGACAGGAAGGCGGAAGCAGCCTGGTGCCTTAGGATCACCAGGCAGAAGGACTCACAAACAGCTGCCCAGCAAGTGCGACCAAGAGAGACAAGCAATTAACGAGCCCCCCCAAATATTTCCTAGGAACTAGGCAACCAGAGGAACAGAGCCACACACAATTGGAGCTGGGATCAAGTAAACACACAGACCCTGCTTGGTGGCCAGCACCTGTAGCCCCAGTTACTCAAGAGGCTGAGGTGGGGTGATCAGTCGAGCCCAAGAACTCAAGGTCAGTCCTGGCAACACAGCAAGCTCAATCTCTCTCTCTCTCTCTCTCTCTCTCTCTCTCTCTCTCTCTCTCTCTCTCTCTCTCTCTAGAAAAAAAATCAACCAAGAAACCAAGCAAGAACAAAACAAACTGACCATCACTACCAGAAGGCCACAAATTGCACTGAGATTAAGGTTAGACTTGAACAAGCTTCCAAATAGACAAAGAGACCAGGTCATGATGAAGAGGACCGGCTTGTTTGACAAGCTGAACCACAGAAGTCCCTCACTGGACTACACGGCCAAGTTGCTGATTCTTAGCCCAGAGTAAGCTATGGATAACCAGACATCCACCACAACTGCTCTGAGAGACTGTCATTTTGTTCCTGCTTGAATTTGGTGAGGCTCCTAAAACCCTAGAAATGCCTGCATGCACACACACACACAAATACACACGTATGCACATACATACACAGCAGTAGCAAAATTACCAAAATTGAGGGAAATGGGAAGATGTTTCTGTTTTTTCTAGGTATGTGAGGTGGAGCTGTAGGTGTCAGGTCCCTCAGTGCTCAAGTTCCTTATGTAGCATGGTCTCTCTGCACACCCTCCAGCAAGCCTTCTAGTTGTGACAATGCTTGACACAGGCCTGTGATGTATACACTGTGGACATATTAAAGCTACTGCAGGAATTGGATGTACCAATTATGGCTTTAATGAGTGTTCAGAACAGTATGAGATATAGTCAATGCTTAAATGTCGCGGGGAGAATAAAGTACCCTTCTTAGCAAAACTGCAAATGTTTGAGGGACTTGGGCAATGTGTGTGTCTCATTAGCTGTGTAAATAAACGGGGTGCAGCCACCAAGGGCAGCAGGGTGTCAAACCCAGCCAACATGGGCAGTGAGTCTGCAGGAGCCTCTCTCTGCAGGCAGACACCTCCAGGTCTCAGGGACCAGGAGCAAAGGGGTGTCTGGCTCCCTCTGCTGGTAGAGTAGAGCTTGGACATACTGAACAGCCAGAGAGAGAGAGACAGTCAGAAGGACCAACAAACAAGTAAAATAACAAAACAAAGATAAATTATAAAAGAAAGCCTTTTGATCCAAACCACTCAAACTCCTAGAGAATAAGGAAGGGAAGAGAGAGAGAAAGAATATCAATTCAAGAATATCAAGTTTAAGCATACGGCAGGGCAAAACTCGGAACAAAATTTACAAGTAAGTTAGTTTATAACCAGAGAGATGGCTCGGCAGATAAAGGTGCTTATCACCAAGCTTGACAACCTGAGTTCAGTCCCTGGGACACTGGTAGAAAGAGAGGACTGACTGACTCTCCTAAGTTGTTTCGTGACTTCTTCAAGTGCACTGTGGCACACACATGGGTGTGTATACACACACACACACACATACACATGCATCACACACAAATGTGAATTTTAAACATTTAATGCTAATAAAAAAGACAACAGTGCATGTGAAAGAAAATGAAAGGGTGGGCAGACACAGAGTTCACCTGGGGTAAGTGACACTGGAATAGAGGCAGCCAACTGAAGTCTTGGTGAACGGCCTTGCATCTCCACCAGAGGACCCCCTGGCCCACGCAGACAAAAAGCCACACACCTGCCAACTGGTGGTGACCATTTGGCTTCACAATCCTCAATCCACATGCACTAGTGTGTGTGCCAGAGAAAGTCCTGCCAAGGTGTACAATGGGGATCACGTCAGTCCCTTGAGCTGGCCGAGCCTAGCAGTCAGCATCCAGCAGTCATCTGCAGCAGGTGGGGGACCATCCTGGCCCATCAGCAGGGACCCCCCATCCTATGAAGGTATCTGAAGGTTCCTCAGTTTCACTGGGATTGTTGGAGTATTTAAATAAGGATACTGTCACTGGTGTCATTAAAAATTAGACAGGTGAGCAAGCCAGGCCACGTGGGACAAAACAGAGGTGGTGTCTATGGGGAGTGGGGCAGTGGATTCAGGAAAACCTAATGTTTTAGCTCAAGGTATGCTGGAGACTTGGTGGGTGAGAGTTCTGACTGTAGGGTGGCATCCTAGGGTGGGCCCAGAGTCAGCCAACCCTAAGTGTTCAGTTGCCTCAAGAAAGTTGGGCTACACCAGTCCTGCAGCCCAATGCCATGTGTTGAGTCCAACAAACATCAGTACTGGATAACAGAGATTAAGCCCTGCCCTGTGGTTCAGCTGGCTTTGAAAGGGGATGGGACATGGCTGACTGTGACTAGAGCCTGACATAGTCATACTCCTCCCAGCTGGCAACAGGGGTGGCCTGTCTGCCATTCAGACACTGTATACTACCATGTGGAAGCATCATACTGCCCAGTGAAGCCGGCCTTGAACACAGGCCTGTGAGCACCTGCTCAGCACCCGGGTACTAACACACCCTTCTGGGAGGCCTGGTTCCCACACAGCATAAAAACTGATGCTCACCTGACTGGTGCAGGGAGCTGGGGTTTCTAAGCACCAGCTGGGGTTTCTGGGGTGGGCGGACTGTCTCTAGGCTTCCCAGTGTGTAGCAATGATGAAAGCATGTCTGTTTCAGCTCCTTGACTTTGCAGGACATCCCAGTGGGCATGTACAGGAACCCAAACTCGGGGTTAGAATCCCAGCGTCTCCTTTCCCTAGATGTGTGACCTTGGAAGACTGAGTAACTACTACTCATTGTGACGTTTGAATGGAACACAGTAAATCCCTTTATCCAGTTGTACCCTCTAAGGTTTTGGTTACTAGCAATCATTTGTGGTCCCAAAATATTAAGTGAGCATTTCCAGAAACAAGCAATCCCTAAGTTTTAAGTTGTGTTCAGTTATGAGCATGGTGGGCTGGTTCAGCTACCACCCCACTCTGTCCCACCATTCCTTTGTCCAGCGTGTGCATGCTGCATGTCCTGGCCACATGTTAGCTACCCTCTCAACAGTTGTTAGGGTGGCAGTGCCGTTGGCCAAGCAACCCTTATTCTACTTAATAATGGCACAAGAGCAGTGATGGCGACAATTATATCACAGCATATCACTAAACCTGTCCTGTCTCATTGGTTGTTCATCCTTCACTGTGACTAGTTCATAAATTAAGCTCTACCATAGGTATGTATATTAGGAAAACAGTCTTTAGGTCTGGGTATCATCCCAGGATTCAGGCACCCTTTGAGAAACATGTTAGTGCCTCCCTCGGATAAGGGGAGGTTACTATAATCTTCAGTAATGTATTTTTCTTACTGGGTACTTGGCCTGTCTCCACCCCACTTCAGGCCTCTCTGGACTCCTTTGCATCCGTGGTTCTTAAACTACCACGGCATGAAGCCAGCTTCTTGAAGCAGAGCAGGACCACTCCTACATATCTGGGTCAGGCTAGAGAGGCTGCATCTCTAAGTGGTCTCTGGCGAAGAAGCAGTTTGAGAAGCCCTGAGTTTTTAAAGCTTTCTAAAAAGGGTCTGGTAGACTGAGGTATCAACGACCTCCAGCTTGGCAACCCCGGGGGTTTCCACTGAGCGCAGAACCACTCGCTGAGCCTGCAGTGGGATGTGCAAGGATGCTCTCGGGGTGCCGAAGGAGTCAATCATTATCCCTACAGTCAGGCGCTCCAGGGTTCCTCACCGGCAGAGGGAAGCGATGAGCGGGGCCGGTCCCTGCAGACCTTTGGAGCTAGGAAGCCACATATTGACCCACCCCGGTGTGCCGCCCGCCAGATCCTGCGCCCCACGCCCCTTCCCGAGGCCCGTAGGCGCCCCGCTTTCCCTAGGTTTCCCTGGCTCCCAGTCCAGCTCCGGCCCGCGCTTACCGGTCCTCTCCCGGCCGGCGGCGAAAGCGAGGCGACGGGGCGCGCGCTGGGCACCGCGGAGGCCTGCCGCGGGAGGAAGCGGGAAGGGCGGCCGGCGGGCCAGCCCCGCCCTGCCCAGGCGCCCGGACAGAGGGGCGGGGTCACAGGGGCGGAGCCACATGATGGGAGGGGCCTTGTGGGCCGGCCTTGTGGGCGGGGCTAGGTCATAGGGTTGAAGCTTGAGAACCCAGTTTTTAAAGTAAGGGTCTGGTGGATTGAGGTATCCAATTCACTCCCAAAGTCGCCCACCTTAGCAGCCTCGGCGGCTTCCAATGAGCACACGATAGCTCGCTAAGTCTACAGAGGGGTGTGCAGTGATGCGCCCTGAGTGCAGCAGGCGTTAATGACACGCCTCAGAGGCGGGGCCGCTGGGGCGGGGGCAAGGGATTCTGCGGGACTTGGGAGGCCTACGAGTAGGGCGGGGCCACGGTCAGGGGCGGGGCCGGGCGGCGGAGCTAAGAGCCACTGGTCTACAGTAGCTCACTGCAAGGGTCAGCTTTCTTCAGGCTCCATGTCTGCCTGTCTTGTTTTCCATCTAACATTTCTAGATGTTTCACCTTTAAACACTTCGGTATGTGTCATCAAGTTCTGTCCTTCAACATGGCTGTAATGCTTTCATACTTATCTAGTGGTAATTCCCAGTCCTCTGTAGGTATCGCTGGTTGACTCGTTAACTCGGAAATGACTTCGGACCATTGTAGAAGGATAAAGGGCGGGTCACCTGCGTGGGTAGCTGTGGGCTACCCAGGCTGACATAGCCCTAGACGACCCAGCATTGGTTAGCCTCAGTGGACACCAGCTCCCACAAACCATCCTGTGCCCCCACATACTGCCCTCTGCTGGTTCAAGAATCCTGAACCCTGTCTGGATTCTGAGCAGCCAATTGCATCTGCAGAAACCCACTGTGTAAGACTGGTTTTCAACAGAGGAGCGAGATACAACTGGCACAGAAAAGTATGTAAACGGCTGGGGAGATGCAACTCAGTGCTAGACAGGCCGATTCCTAGATTCTGTCCTCAGCAAACGAACAAAACAACATAGAAAGCAGATGACAGCAGTCCACATGTTACGGGAAATTATGGTCTGAATTGTTCACATTGTCTAAACACATGCATTGAATTCTGAACCCGAGAGTGACTGCATTTGTCAACAGGGCTTATGTATGGAGGTAACCACGAATAAACGAGGTCATAGGGTACAATCATAATGGGACTGGCGTCCCCTCAGGAAGAGGAAGAACACTGGAAGCTCATTCTCCCTGTGTGTGTGGATGTAGGACATAGACAGGAAGAGGAAGAGACGTGATCAGAAATAGTCATCCCTGCACCTTGATCTTGGATCCATGCTGGTCTGCTGTCTTTTACTGTTAACAAAATCAGCCTAGAGAAAAGGGTTTATTTGGGCCCATAGTTTTGGAGGTTTCATAAAGGCTTAACAAGGGTTTGATCCCCAGACTGAAGTGCTGTTAGGAGGTGTTAGAACCATAGGGAGGCAGGGCTAGCATGGTGGGAACCCAAATAACTGGTGTCACAGTCTTGGAGGGAACATTGGCCCTCAGCCCTTCCTCCTTGAGACAGGACTCCAGTGCAAACTCTTTTCTTGAAGACTAACCCAGAAAGTCCCATGAGAGTGAAGAGGAGAGGCAGAAAAGGAAAAGGGGGGGTTCACTACAAACAGGCCCACATGGTGAACTCCCAGAGCGACTCTAGGTGCTTCTAGGGGGACTTAGAGGTAACCCACCTGAAGAAACACAGAGAGCAGGTTACCTAAAGTCCAGAGACCATCAGTCCTGTCTTGTAACTGGTGCTCCTTGGGGATGCCACCCTCCAGAGTCACTGAGGACTCTGTAGGCAGAGGCAGGCAGAGGCACAGCAATGGCCTCTGAAAGGTTTTGGGACACCAACAAATAAGCAGGTAATGACAAAGGGGAAAGCAGTTTTTAGGACTTTG